GGGAAGATATGAACTCAATTAATTGACCTCGCTCCCAATGTGTGGCTTCATAGCTTAGTTGGTAGAGCATAGCACCGGTATCGCGGAGGTCACGGGTTCGAATCCCGTTGAAGTCCTGAGTTTTTCAGTCTTCTTTTTTCCAATTGCTTAAATTGGAAAATTTACTGCGATGATCATTCTTCACTTTCACTTTTGCTTCCGTTTCAAAACAAGTCTTCGTATCACCTGCACGTTCATTTTGTGTCGCTTGGCGACACAAAAAAAGTCAGCAAATACCTCAGTAATTTAGGAATACCCTGTTTTGTAAGATAGCATATATACTAACGGCATAAAACAAATCGAATGGGTGAGAAGAAAAGGAGACAACTTTGACTTGAGGCTGCCGCATGCGCTTCTTTAAATCATAACGCGAAGCGAGAGGGTTAAATTAAGAAGAGGAAGGGTATGTTTTGATGAGAATTTTACAGTAATCTAGGTTTGATTCCTTTTCTTTAAAAGCATTTTTACTTCTAACTCACCTCTGAACGACAAAAATAAAAATGAGGATAGATGTTGTCCAAAAGACAACATGTTCTTTTTCAATCTTAGGAACAGCTCTAGCCAACTCATAAGCTAAGTGTACAAGGAATAAATTCATTTCAGATATGAAGTCTTTTTGGACGAAGTCAAACCTCAAGACTTAAGTTTATCATTTCTGAGGGAATACATGGGTCTACCTTCATCTTACTTCGCCGCTGGAGCACCACTTAAATACCGTAAGTAATCAGAAGAACTAGGGCAGGCCTGCTTTATTCTTTTCAAATGTTATTCTGTTTCAACTTCATTTATTTAATCGCTAACTCATACTAGCAGCCTAGGCAGGGGCTGAGGAGCGATACTGAAAGTTGCTTCATATTATGGTAACCGAGATAAGCGGCTGCTGCGCATGCGTCGGAGACTTTGATGCGTCACAAGAGTACGAGCGATAGTCAGCTAGGCTATAGCTTGTTACTTTTTGCTCTCAGACAATTTGAGTTTGTACACGAATCTTTCAAGAATCCTAGTTTAATTCAGTAGAAGCTGAGTATAAAAAA